TTATGTTCTACTTCTTTTACTGGATCAAACCTGATTTTTTTCTCATCTATCTATAAAAAACATTTTCACACCAGAAAAGATACACAGTCCCGCAATAACAAAAACAGTCCTACAAAATATTAAATTTTCCTCTAGTTCCTTTTGGTCATACTTGCATGACAGAGTCTCACCTTATTTTTATAAACTGACAGGATACTGAGTATCTCAACAATAAGAAAACTCTGTCTTAAAACATACAAAGATTCAGCATCCCAAAAGACCGGGAAACCAAGATACAGCCATGGTCCCACCTGCTTACAACACTGAAATAATGCAGCTGATGGATACAGTGCACGGTGCAATTCCTTAACAAAATCCTACAACCACATAGTAACACGTGGACCTCGCCATACATGATCCAGTGTGAAAAACCAGAACACTAGTGGACTTGTATGTGTTGACAAGAGCACAGGCCACTCTCCTGTAGCAGGATACTTGGTCCCTTTATCACAGTGGCTCCAGCCTCAGCTAACGAGAGCTATTTGACCAACATGAGGTAGTCAGATGTCAAATCATATAAGATCAGGAATTAATGGTAATTGCACATATTCCCCAGAGCTATCTGGAGATGGTGTACTACATATACCTTGTCAAGTTTATGACTGAGGGCTCTCTGGGGCTCTTCTCCACCACAAAACAGGCCAGTGAGATAGAATCCCTGCTAGTTTTTCCCATTTAAAACCCATCACCACGTAACTGCTACCAAAGATGAGGCTGTACTGCAGGTTATACGCACGGCAGTACAGCGTGCTGAGGCAGTAGCGCCAGCGCTGCCGCTGCTGCTTCAGTTATGAACTGCAGAGTCTGTGCTAACAGAGTCAGAAACACTGGGCTGCAGCGTCTAACTACTGCATGCTATGTACCACACGCTGCCCTACAAAACAGAGTGTGGTTATTCAAAAGGTGCCGAGTACTTTTCAGATTAAGTATTCTGAACACTGTGCTTACCATGGCTTACCACAGACACTTCTTCTACCGCATGCCTTTGTGCATATCTCACTTACAAGACCTTACTGCAGCTCTAAGTCTGATTCTTTTGTCATTATTACTAGTTTGAAGAGTGGATAAGTATTTTGCTTCTACACACAAACACACACACACTCTACAAAAGCATGGATCACAGTGTATATATAACCTGGGAATGAGAAATGCTGCCTCTGCAAAAATATGTGCCCAACAGTCATGCCTACTTTAAGAATAAATCAGATGACTGATGTAGCAACCACCGCATGATTTTATCTCCACATGTAAAATTCCTGTTTGTTGTATCATTGAAATGAAAGCCGTAATTAGAACCTGGAAACAAAGACATCTGAGCAGGTTCAGAGGGCATATCCAACTCCCTATGGTAATTAAAGAATCTGCTTTGCATTCTATTTGCTTCAAAACGAATAATCAAGTTATCTGAAGGAAGTTAACAAGAGTTGTAGTCTAACTCACTTGTTTCATATACCATTTTAAATAAAATACTTAAATTAATAATTAAAAATGAGGATGAAGATTTGGAATGTTTTCTTGTTTCTATGAACAATGGACAACATGACGAAAGGTGTGAAAACTCCAGAAGACAAGAAAGAAGGAAGAACGGTGACTTTTACTGTGATAAAAAGTTTCACAGTCTTTTTGAAGATGCTTACCTTATGTCCTTAAAAATGGTTGTTACTGGATTTTTTTCTCCTAGTGTTCCTTTCTTACAAAGCATCCACATGCCAGTTTGTATTAATCAATGCAATTACCATAAATTAAGCAATTTTCATTGCTTATTTCCATTTTCCTAAGCTAGTCCCTTCATTAAATGGATAGAAACCATGTTCTCCTTCTATTTGCTCTTGAGAAGTCTAGATCTGGACAATTCAGACTTCAAAATACCTTTGGGGAATCAAAACTGAACAGCAGTCTAAAATTATGTCAGATGTTAAGTTAAAGCTCTGAGTACTGTTACTGGCCTTCCCAGTTATTAACATCTTTGCAAAACACTAGATATAATCTCAAATATATTATATTTACATTTCAAAGGCCAACAACTCCTGTCCGGTTCTGGTTAGTCCACTGTTTTCTTCATTAAGGTGAGAAACATGCCATGATGTAGGTGTTCAAAAACGCTTCACAGAGATTACATTCCTAATATAAATGAAAAAACCACTGCTGGCTGAATATAGTGTTGCATTCTTTCTCATGCTATTTTTATTGGAAGTTTCCACACAGGACTGCTAAGCTTAAAGTTAACTGTTTCCCCTGCTTTGCAAGTTTACCTGTTTTAACTTGAATTTTATACTGTCATTAAAAAATACCTTACAACAGGACACAGGCCAGAAATGTTGTCATTGAAACAGAAGAATTGATTCAACGTTTATAGCGTGATTTAACAGAGACTTGGAACACTTTGGTGCATAAAAGAAAGCCTGGGTTAGAAAATTTGCAGAAAAAAAAATTATTTCTTTCACATTTGGAAAGTGCATTTCTGGCCGAAAGCACTATTGCATCTGAAAAGCTGCATAACACTTCCCCCCCATGAAAACGTACAAGGAGAGGCAGTAGCTTGTGAAAGGGTACCCAGGAGGCATAAGAAAATAAACAAGTGCCTCTGAAAGAGAGGACAAAGTTGAGATGGAAGATGTTGCATAACAAAACTGAACATGAAATGCTGGAAGTCAGATGACACTTAAAGATTACAGAGCTGAGATTTGTAAACTGCAACAAAACCGAAATTCGCATGTATATCAATGCACATCCATACAGTACAGCATCTAATTTGGAGGTTGTAACCTGTTCATAAGACTCCGACCAGCCCAGGGACAGAACCCAGAGGAGTAATACTGTGCTCTGATATCAGAGGTGAGTTTATACTGGAAAAACTGAGCCAATTGAGGTAAAAAGGGCAGCGGACTGTGCTTCCTAAAATTGCTCAATGTTATTTCTCTAATATAAGATGAAACATAAATATTTGATAGAAAATACTAAAAGTTTAATTTGCACGATCCTATAATTTCTTGTATACAGTGGCCCTTTTAAGAAGGAAAAAATAATAAACTAGCTTATCACAGTTGGTAAATGGGCTTCACAGTTGTGATAAAGTCTAACAGACAGCAAATTTTTATTTAAAAGAAAAAAAATCTGTAGATATGCAATGTGGTTATGTCCACACATTGTTCCAGTGAAGTTAAATGTAATTTTCAATGTGTGAGCACGGGAGGTGCAGTGGAGTCCCAGGGCGTGTGCAGAATCCACCTGACAGAAACTTCATGTGGGCAGCAGAGACCTCGTACACGTGCAGAATGGGTTACTGCCTGTGGATGAACACGTTAGGACTTCCCTTGGCAACAGCTCGCTTGAGATTAAGTACAGTCAAACAATACAAAATGTAAAGTGCATCATGAAAAGCACATGCAGAGCATTTGGGGAAAGTGTGATTAAGCATTTAAGACGATTTCCTTGCTTTGCCACTTTTATGCAGGGAATAAAACATGGAGCTTTAAACCCTAAATGTGTATTTGCACAAAATGCAATCTTTGTTTCTGCAAAGGTTTTGAAAGAGTAGTTATCTGCTAGAATTTTTGTTATGATTATTCTTATTATTTTTGTTTAAATACTATAAATGTACTATAACGTGTATACAGGGAAATGGCTTGAAGATTTGTTTTCAGTTTAATACCTACTACTGCATGTAAATGGAAATTTTAATTAAAAATCTGTTTTGTCTGGTTTTCTCTGTTTTGCCATACAGTACGTTTTACGTTACAGCTGAAAAAAGCATATTGCTTTTGTATAGCATCTGCTGTTGGGCCATTTGAGATTAATTTGGCACAACTTTTGTAAATAACAGATTTATTATCAGATTTTCTTCACTGATTGGATGTTTTTTAACTCTAGGTCCCAACAATTCTCTTTCTGAGAACAAAAGAATGTTCTTTCATAAAATAATCAAAAGCACTGAGGACTTTCTTTCAACTAGTAAGAATATTAATTGGGTTCACCATCAAAATGTGATAACATGTAAAATATCTTGTTTTGCATGTTAATGCTTCGTAATTGCGCAGAGCTTTTCAACTTCAAAGCTCTTTACATGAATTAAGAAGATGTCCCTGAAGGCCTTAGGCAAAATTTTCTTTGCCTTCAAATAAGATTTGCACCAGACAAAAGCTTTGTGAAAAATGCAGGACTGTGCTTTGTTGTTTTAATCTACTGCCATCGCACGTGAGAAAAAATATGATTACAATTTTGCAGATGAAGCAGTGGAAATAGATGGGAAGTGAATGGGACTATCCCTGCTCATCTGAAAACTCTGTACTTCACCTTGGCTGTGGCACACTGAGCAAATGACAAACAAAGCGCGAGATAATTCAATTTTCCAAAGCCATGTCAACATACCTTTCAATTATTCCTTTACTTCCCCACCAAAGATCAAACTGCCTAAAAGTCCGATGATTGGCCTCTATTGTACCACTCCACGCACAATACCTTTGCTCAAGCAGCCAGGCAGAGAAAAATGCGTTTGCTAGAATTCAGTCAAAAGCTATTATCTGGTACTCCACTTTGCTTCATCAAATGACATTTTAAAATGTACTTGCTAGAAGTTTCCCAAAGCCCAGGAGCAATGGTTATTCCCTTATGTCAGACAGATCAAAATCCATCACAAATCTCTACCTGGTATTTTCAAACTGAACTGTATTTTCACCGTCTTTTAAACCGCACTACAGACAGGAAACTGCACAGACATTTACAACCTAAGAACTAAAGCATGAGTATTTTTTCAGCATCCTTTGCCATAATAACATTATTCGGTGAGTACGACTAAAAATTAACAAGCATTCCTCTTTGTACTTACCATGTGATTTTTATGCCACTTCACTGGACACAGGGAGTAATACATTGGGTCTTTTTATTGCTCAAGTAGAAAGTGCTCATTACGTATTTATGTTCATATATAGGAAAAAACAAAGAGTTGTTTCAAGTGGCATACATCACACTGTTGTGGTGGTTGATTTCCTCAAGATGGTCTTCTGGGGTTTTGGTGCGGATTGTGGAGGCACAGTCGCAGGTCTTGGAGGAGGAAAGCTATTACTGGGACTTATCCCCACTCCCCCATTTTCCAGAGGAAATGGAGGCAGCGGAGGTGGAGGGGGTGGCAGAGGAGGGCATTGGTGTGGCAGCTTTCCCACAGCACGAGCAGGTTCACTGTGCAAGTGCACCTCCCTGTTTTTAATGTTATACCGAACATCGCAGTCGGGACAATAGCCGTGGTACTGCACTTTTTCACTAAATCGTACCCGTTCCCTTGCTCCCGGCTGAGGACACCGCTCTTTCTCAGGTCTGTGCATCAGAGGCTGCATCGCAACTTTCTCCAAATTACTGTTCGGTATACAGCATATATCTCCGTTTGGGATGCGGTTGGGCCCGACTGGCAAGCCCCCATTTCGCAGCAGAGTACCATTAGTCTTGAGAGGGTTGGCTGAAGGAGGCAGCCTCGGTGGCTCGTCGCACTTGACAGGCGTCAGTCGCGGTGGAGGCGGGGGCGGATTGGGCTTCCGCAGCACGGTGAGGATAGCGGAGGGGTGCGCGGGCGTCTTGATGAGCGGTGCACTGCCCCGCACCTTGACTTTCTCCAAGCTGGAAGCCGTTGTGCTGCTGGAGCTGCTGTTGAGTGTGTCCGTTTTGGAACTGTCTGTCATCTCATCCTCCAGCTGCAGGTCAGATGTAAGTGTGTCAATCTGGTCAACCACCTGCACAACAGCCAGAGCGAAAACAGTGAGAAAAGCTTGTCCCACTAAAGGCACAAAAAACCGAAAGCACTCTCCACTACCAATTTTTGTCCTTCCCAGAACTGTGGCATTGATTTATTTTTCTTGCCAACATAATAAAATAGTCATAGTAACAACGACGACAATAATAATAACAACAACAATAGGGATGGCTAGTTTGCTAGCTCATCACCTTAATACAAAAGAAATATAACTTGAAACACTCTGGAATGAAATTCCGTTTCTTTCCCTCTAGGGTTTACTCGGCAATAACATTGTAAGTGAACTGTAATCCTTCAATATTATGCTTTGCCTTCCAGTGCAGGAGGAGACTGAATTATTTAACTTTAGCTTCTACACAACAGCTTCTGAATCCAAATCTTCTGCAGAGTATCTTTTACCTCTGACCTTTCACACAGTTCAGGCTTAAATATGCATCTCGGTATAGGTGATTATTATACATCTGCAATCGTAAGTTTGGTACACTCCTTCCTGACAATTTTTTGACATAAACAAAGTACTGAGAACCAACTTCCCTCTTGTATTAGACTGCATTATCTCCCTTTATGAATATTTTCTTTAAGATATAAGATCTTCTGAAGCAATCCTGAAATAGCATTTGCTGCAAAAAAAAGAGGAAAGGAACTTGGTTTCCAAAGTTATAAGCATTTATTAACTCAAGCACTTTTATTACACAAAATTTCCCCTACCTCCCATCTTTCTGCTTGTAGTTTCTACAATGTTGTCTCTCTTCTAGGCTTCCAGATTCCTTTTTTACGGATTTTTTAATAGAACATGCAACTAATGGTGCCTTTACTAGGGAGTGAAGATGTGTTATATGACAACTAAAAGCTAGTCCTGGAATGTGCATTTCACTCAGTATCTAGTTGAACAACTGCAGTTACAATCTACTGATAACTACAACACACATAACAGAATAAGAACACATTTAAAAATATGTTTTTATCTTTTACATCCTTGCAGGATTTACATAAAGTAACCCGTGGCTGAAATGTTAGTATCTAACTTCGTTGCATGAATAAAAAGCTTGTGCCCCTGCTTGGGGTACCTAGGGGAGATCTGTGACGTTCTGAAGAGAGAGCTGGAGGGGGCACCCAACTAAATCTGAAAGGAACCTAGATGCCTCCAGTTGTGTCACTCAATCAATCCTTCTTACCCTTCTCAGACTTTCATTTCTACCTCCTGCTTTAAATAATTTGGTCCTAATACCACTGATTTCAAATCAAGCCTAGTTTTGAGGAGCAATTTGCAGTTACACTTATTATTATTACACTTATTTGCAGTTAACTTCAAAAAGGTGAAAGTACTGAAGACAGCAACTCTTTATTCGGTCAAACCGGTAATCCACTTATGTGCCCAGTGGTAAACAGAAATAATGAAAGCAAAAACACCATAGAATGAAAGAGCACTTTAGCATCCACCACTCATACTGTAGCTAAGAGTTGTGTAATATAAAATTCATAAAATTCAGTTCAGTGCCTTCCTTCTCCTAATACCAGCAAAAATGCCGGTAACCATGATTCAGAAAAAGAGCTTTCAAACACCTTTCAAAAAAATCAACAAGTCAACAATCTTTCTCTCCAAGACTAAAACAACTACTCACTTATTCACTCTTCAAAGCCCAATACCATGTTGCATTTCACTTCCTATTTTAGCAGTTTGATTTTTCTCCAATAAAAAGAAAAATTACAATCTTAATAGACAGACTTTAATTCTCCCATATAATCAGGATTTAAAATATTAGTCTAGAAATGGAAAGGTACAGTTGAACTCCAGTAACTGTCAGATCCCAAACATCTCCTCCAGGATACAGCATATGACCACTCTTAGAAATTTCAGAATAAAGGCAGGTATACGATACCTCCGTACTAAGTCAATGCAAAATTCGTAGCAAGAAAGACAGTTTACAGGAGAAAGAACTCACATTATCACTTTACGTATGCAAGGCAGAGAGAACTTCTCAAAATGAAACAGTGAATTTAAAGGAACAAGGAAAAGACAGTTATGTTATGGGGATTAAGCCTGAAATTCAAGTACCCCTCTGAAAGTTCAGCATGGATTTGTGCAAATATTAGGGTGTTGTGGTTTAATTCCAGCCAGCAACAAAGTACCACACATAGGGTCTTCCTACATATGGCTAAATATGCCATTAAATCCTCTCCTGGAATCCAGTTTGTAATATTTAAATAACCTGTAACAGCTACATAATGGATAGAGGCAACAAAAACTAAAGAATCACCCTGGCAAGCACAGAAACAAAAGAAGAGTTGTGAAACAGCTGCAGGGAAGAGAGAAGGGAAAGGCATATCCATAAGGATGCTTAACACAGGAGCACTGTACAGCGTGTATAGGTGACAGTATATTGGCCTATATCACAGTATTAGTAGTAAGTGATAATATTTGGTTGATTCACATTGCTCAGCAAGAGCTATATGACAATGCCAAGAACAAAAAATGGTTTCTTTTTCAATTGGCTTATTCCAACAAAACCTCATTTTTCTTTTCCTCTATTTTCCACCATGATAGCACCTTCAAAGAGTACCTATGATCATACAGGACCTCAGAAACCAACATCACTCATGAGGAAAAAGTCAGACATGGACTGCTGACATGGTTATTGAACAGTTATCTATGGATAAATCTCATGGACATTATTCAAATAATATACTAAATCTTACTTACCTTAATAAAATTCACTCACAATTTCCAATACAAAATTCCCATAAAGAAGAAAATTAAATAACAAAATGCATTTTAATGTTAGTTTAAGACATACACAAAATTCTAATAATTTTATGTGGTTTTTTTTCTGCAGAACCAGTCATAAATAATGGCTTCTTTGCTTGAGGCCTTGTGTGCAAGAAAGATCATCCCTGTTCCACATCACACAAAAGTGTAATTCTAGAGAAAAGAAACCTAGTGTTTATTATTTTGAGATGGATACATGAAAAGAGATATTCCACTGGTGGTGTTTTATGCAGCACACGTGTGTCATAAAATGGCAGACACTGGTGATGAGAAAATTTGCATCCGTTCAAACTGCCCTGACAGTGCAAAAATTTTCTCAGGAGTAACAGAAAGTCTGTTACGAACTGTCCTTGGATTTACATGACTGCAGAGTTCATCTCTTGCCCTCTGGGCAAATGTGTAGTACACACGGAATTATTTTGTCACCCATCCATTTGTAAAACATAAAACCAGCACGAATGGCTCTGACATGACAACACAGTTTATCTGTCCAGATTCGTTCCCAGCACAAGCTGTGATTCTGTTTACTGTTATTTTCTTTTTCTTTTACTGTTGGGGAAGGAAAAATTCAAAGAAGATGACATAGAGTCAGAGAACCAGTGACTAGCACAGTGAAACTGATGTAGTTAAAAAAAAACAACCAACCAACCAACCAAAAAACTCACAAAAAAAACCCAAACACCCACAAAACCAAAACCAACCAACCAAACAAAAAAAACCCCACCCAACTGTGTTGAAAAAATAGCCTGTTCCACAAGGCACTTCCTATGAAAGTAAGACAGAGAATATTTGGAAAGAAAACAAGTTGCTCTAGTTGTGCAGAGTCCGTCCATTTTTCAGCTCTGGAATAAACCAGGATTTGATACGTATGTACAAGTATGGGAGAGAGATCCTTTTACAGCCTGAGCAGCTCCTGAGCCATTACCGGACTTGAGCTCTAGAGACCCCCACATCTCTCCTGCCAGCAATACCTTGATGCTTCAAGCTCTGCAGGATCTGGTGTGACAGCCCTGAATGAACCAGGACATCAGCTCATTCCTACCCCCTTCCTGGGTTGTTACTGTACAGCAATATTAGGTACCCCACGGGGATGGAGTTGGATTTCTTTAACTCACCCCAAGAATTCAATTCTCTTTCCACTTGTACAGAACCAAAATATTTTATCCTGAAATCTAACTCATTCAACAAGTCAAATCTCTGCTTATAGCATATCATGTAATCCTTAGAAATATTTCTGGGGGTTTTGGATGAGGGTTTTTGGGTCTTTTTTTTAGTTGTTTTGGTTTAGGTTTTGGTTTTTTGACAACTGGGTATTATACAATAAGCAGAAATAACAATTGTTTATAAAGATATTTAATGTCAATACTATGTTTATCCTTTACCTCCAGTTTACTGATTGAAAATAATTTTGTATTTTCTTCTTCTTTTAATTTTCAATGTAGACATTAAAGTCATTCTTTCCAGTAATGACGAAACTAGACAGAACTACAACAGCATTTGAAAAACGTGTACGTAAGGGTTTAGAATCACTGTTTAGAGCCAGGAATCAATTGAATGCATAAAATCTCATCTCTACCTAAAGTCAAAATGGCAGGGTTATGATTAAAAACCAACACTAGCTAACAGAAATTTACCACATTAAAAAAAAAAAAAAAGTAAATGAAAGTAGAATTAGAGCTATCCTTTACAATTATTTCATTTTTTCTTGTTTTTTAACATATTTACATAGACACTAAAGCCTTTGATTGGATTTGGGGGGGAAAAAGTCAATTATGAATATTCCAGGTAAGAAACAGTCAAGCACTCCAATGCACCAGTTTTACTAAATCACTTAACTCAGAAGGACTGATTAAGTCACCTTGTAGGCCGCCTCCTTGTTGAGTAGATAACTACAAGAACAGCTCCAAGGAAAAAATCAGTGTTGCATGAATGTAGGAAGATCACAAATCTTCGTTAAAGCAAGTGACTGCTACTGATGCCAAGTTGTTCCTTGTCAATGCAATAACTTTTAAGTACTTTTAAATACAATTTTAAAACTTTTTTTAAATCGCTGTTTCAGAAAGTTTTCTCAAGATATCTAAACTAATAACTGAAATATTAAGAGTGTAGAAATACCTAATTGAAAAGATGGTAGGAATTAATCAGGGGTACTTTCCTCAAATCGGCAAAATCCAAATATTTAGAGAATGACATAGGTACTTGAGAGGCTTTGC